ATTCAGTACTTTAATGTAAACACAAACATTGGGCTAATCCAGGAGAGGTAAGGTAACAGCACTTAAAACGGCATCAATATGTGAAAATGGAGAGCTTAACTAAGCATTTCAAATTTCAATTGAAGTTTTTGCAGATAGAGACAGATAGAAGGAGAGATGGTACAAAAGCATTATGCCACCATCTACATGTAAGTTCGTCGGGGGGGGGGGGGGGGGGATATTCCTCTAGCAAATTCTTCTGAGTTACATAGTTAGGATTGTTGGCACATTCAATCTCATTTAACAAGCATGCATTCAAATCTAAATAGTTTGGATACATAACTCAATATGTCTGTCTGTATGTTTGTTTGTATGTTGTTTCACGTCCCTCTCAAGAATTTTTCACTCGTATGGAGACGCCACCACTTGCCGGTGGAGAGCTGCAAATTTTGATCTATACAAGGCACTGAGGGCCATTTAGCAGTAAAAGATCTTTTTCGTGCCAGCACCTACTGCGACAAGGGACCTCGGTTTATATAATCTTATTCGAAGGACTGGTCTCCACGTCCCGTAGTGGATTCGAACCCGCGACGTAAGGATCAACTACATATACTCCGCAACCCTAGAGCAGACGTTCTAACCACTTTGCCACCCTAACGACTAACTCAAAATGAAGTACATGTATCTAATCACTAGTTAAAATAATAAACAAATGCTAATATTTGTGTTTGTAATTCATTAAACTGGAGTTCACAGGATATTCAAATATTATCTTTACTTTAAAAAGAAAAAAAAAAACATCAGCTGCTTTATTTGTGTATTTGTGGGGCTTGAAATTGAAGGGCATTTAGCATAATTACTTAAAAATGAAATGAAAGTATATTAGATATATGACGTTTTGTGTGAAAATATTATCAAGCATACTTTACAGAGTGGATTGATCATGTGTTTAAAAAAAGGGGGAGAGGGACGATCGTCCGAGTATATGTTTATCCTTAAAAACAAAGGGTAAAGCATTAATTCATGTTTGTGGCCACAAAATCCATGACTTCAAAACTTTTTATCTGGATTGCACAAAGAAAACAAATTCATTCAAAAGAATTCACAGATGATTTACTGGCATCATGAGGAATAAACCAAGCACGAAGCATGCATCGTTTTTCAAGAAATGGGGGGGGGGATAATTGATGACGTCTGAAAAAGCATACCACCTTCCCCGAAAAAAGAAAAGAAATAAAAGAAAAATACCAAAACTTGCAAAACTTATTTCGGGGGGGGGGGGGGGGTCCAATTTAGTACCATTAAATCTGCTGAAGAGACTTCTATACAATAGCCAGGAACCTTGCTAATGCTCTTAAGTACAAAACAGTAAAGCTGCAGTCTCATCAGACACTTCATTTCTTTTAAAAATACAGATGGAATTGCAGGTACATGTATTGAGATGCATACATAATACATTACCATAGATTTCTGTAACATGATTTTCACCTCTAATTTTACATACTCAGTAAATTAAAATGGTATATAAAAATATACAAAACACAGTATCACTATATTGCATTTAACCGAAAGCCAAGGCTTGATGCGCGAGTCTCAGACTCAAAGGAGGACGAAATGTGTGTGTAATATCTTAATTTTTTGTCTTTACAAAATTCAGGAGGCAAAGACATGTTATGTAATTACTTTTATTTAATTCGTTTTAGACTTTCCGATGAGGATGACAGTTATTAGAATAATAATAAATAACTTAACATGGAACTTCTGGAAATACAAGTACTGAACCCCCCCCCCCCCCTTCTCTTTTTTTTTTTTTTATTTTTGTTGAATGGGTTATTCAGTATAGGTCGACAAAATATTCTCATGGTGTTTTTGATAAATATTAAAACGATTCTTGAAGGAATCTAACTTGCGAAGAACAAAATAAAACACTCGCGGCCAGCACCTAGACAGACCATTTGACATACTAATAGATTTAATTTATGAAAGTATCTTTTAGTGATCGAGTTTTCACTTGATAAAATATATATATAAGCTTTTCTGAAACAAAAATCGTAAACAAAGATTTAAACTTCAAAATGTTTTTAATGTTATTTTTTAATGTAGAAGAACTGCTCTCTTAGACGATAGAAATTGAGCAATGGAAGTCATCTAAGTCATGAGTCATTTAACGGAAATAAAAGCGCAGCACTTCCTTGAGCATGTTTGGTACCCCCCCCCCCACCCTTCTTTTCCTCGGCAATTCTGAGTGACATTTCCTTCACAGATGGCCTGGCAGGTATACTAGTAATAGCTCTAGTAAAACTGATGAGCATGTTATATCTCTATATTGCTATTCATAATGAAATAGATAATTGTAGCAAAAGAGTTTTGATGAAAAGAGTTTTGATGGAAATGTGCTACATGTATTACACCAAATTTGTATATTTGAAGAATTTTTCCCCGTTAATGACAGATCTACTACAAATTATAGGGAAAGAATGGAGCGACTAATAGTATATTCGGGGGATATCATACAAGTATTTAAAATACGTCGACAGTAACATATATCTTACTCATTCCATATACTTCGATTTTTCGGCAAGTGACAATATAGCTAAGATTTTAGTCGAACTTATAATCTATAAAGACTAGTTAAAAATTATAAAAAGCGGTTTTATATCCATATATCTCGGCTGAACCAACGGTAAATATTTATAGAAATGTCTCTTGCACCTGTGCTCAATGGAGGATTTAAAGGGGATGTTGGGGAGGATGTCCGCAAACACCCCTACCCCCACCCCACCCCCCCACACACACACACAAATACACACAGAAAACACACCAAAAATTCTTATAATACATCTTAATTTTGTTTGTATAAGACTCTATAATATAAATAAAGTGTGAACAAAAGTATGTGTGGCTTTCGATATTTTAATAGAGAAACTTACGAATTTCACCGAGTATAGGGGAGCATTTTTCCTGGTGGAGGTAGGTATCTAGAATTGTTTTTTTTAAATATTTAATATAAAAAAGGGGATCGTTATCCAATATCATATAAAATCGCTGGGGATTTATAGATATTTTAACTGAAATCCATTTGCTATTTGCTAAGGCACCTGTATAAAAGATATATAAGAAGTCGACCCCCCTGTTCCAATCACCCCCCCCCCTTCCAGTCAACCCCATTCTCGTTAGTTCTTGATCATACACAAATCAATCGATAAAAGGGTTCAATACAAATTCATTTCGGGGGCAGGTTGGGTATCTCAAATAAACGGATTATCTACAGTATATTTACATGTACATCAAGTACTAACTATCATATTGTATTACATGTACATCAAGTACTACTATATCAATGCTGCCTTGTGGAGAATCGTTGTGCCTTACACCTGATTAATCAGTAATAATTTGTTTATAGTACACAAGACTTGAAAACTAATGATTTCCACAGTTTAACTCTTTATTACTTTTTTTTATTGATTCATTTGTAAGATTTCACTGATCTGTTACAAATTATTGAGGGTGACGTCACAATGGCTTTAAAACTCTCGATTTGCACACTAAATATGCACCTCTTAGCTGGAGGTGAAACAAGTGGGCGGATCATGGATCTTCAAATTTCAAAGACCGATTTCTGTACTGAAGACATTCCAGTTTCCTTTCCTCTTGTGATATTCAATTACCTGGTTAAAGGAGAACTTTTTGCAAACAATTAAAAGTACGTGTGCTGAACAACAAAGACAGTATGCCTTATATTACGTACAATGCTTAATCGCCATTTTGCATTAGAAAAGTTCGGGAAAAGAGTGTACCTGTGACGTCGTATTTTACGACTGTGACGTCGAGGAGTGGTTGTCTGCATAAGGAAGCTGCTGTAAATTTGGTAGTGTTTACATCGCTGCGGTTTTTTGACCATTTCGTTGGATTTAAAAGTTGTTACGGTTGTGAAAACATATGTAAGTGTTTGCAGTTGTCGTGCGGAATACGCATCGGTATGTATTTTCGTTTGCTGCGAGTCATTTCTTCAGTCGGGTCTTCATTCATGGGGACTATGAAGCCGTGCGTTGTTGGCAATGTTTAACGGATATCTACAACTCGGAAGGAACGTTTTGCGATAACAGTGGAGTCGTAGCATAATTTAATGACGGAAATTCGATGGATTATTTTAATATCGCCGTTTGATTGCAGAAAACTGCAGAATTTAGCGAGAAAATAATGACGCATGCGCAAATGGGGGTTAGTCGTTTTTTGATGCCAGGCATCGACTAACCCCCATCTGCGCATGCGTCATTATTTTCTACAGCTACAACAGTAGAACACCAGATAAACTGCATAAAAGACATTTACCCTAGAAATAATAATTATGACTGAAAATAAACAATAAAAATATGAAATTGGAACACAACAAAAACATGAATGAATAAAAATAAACAATAATTCAATTATATTAGCTTCTTGTATACACACTTACCCATTTAGACAGTATCTACTACAGTGAAAACTGATAATTTCAAGCAAAACTAAGTTAGTTTTCGGGCACTACACCTGATTTCAGAATTTTCTGAAAATCCAGGATTTATAATTAGTCTAAGATTAAATAATTCCCTGTTTAAAGTATGAAAACGGGGGGTTATGGGGAAAAAACTAAGTTAGCAAGTGAAGTTTGTATTTGATATTTTTTTTTCTTTATCTTTGATAGAGGATTAAGGTAGCTAAGGACACCTGACCCCAAAAAAAAACCTCCCAATAGATTTTGCTGAAATTTTCACATGGTGCAAAAGAATGTGTAATGAACCTTTAGTGGAAATATGAACTTGGCATTTTAAATAATTTCACAAATTCTGTTTTTTATGTATCTGTATATATCATCTTTTCTTTACTTGGGTAGGTTCAGTTATGTTTCCAAAAATTAAACCTATTAAACCTTCATGAGTGCAAGTTGTTATACTGGTATACACTGTTTGCTTTCTTTTGATACAGTTGATAAGTAGCTTTATCCTTCTGACATTATTTTTTTTATACAATTCTGATTCCAGGGAAGCGTTTCCGTAATGCTGTGATACAAGTTGGTGACTCATTAAGTAGTTTGAAGACATGTGGCACTTTCAAAGGGCCCGGAAAAACTGGTCAAACGATAAGAATCAAATGTCCTGGCAGAATGAAAGGGCGCTGGGTTCAAATCCAACAGAAATATCGTGGCTACTTACATTTTGCCGATGTTCAAGTATCTGCAAGCAAGTCAATAAGCCAACCGACCAAAGCAGCCCAAGCGGTGGGTAAGTAAAGGATGTATTCACAATTTCAAAGGAATTGACCAATAGGAGAGAACAATTTCCTGGAAAAAGTCACATTTAAAAATCAATGTTTATTGGTTGTTTTCTACTGTATTTTTTTTTCTTCATAATTCTTTATTTTTGTTTTACACATTCTGCTATTTCATACAATTTAAACATATGTTTAAAAGAATATACAGAAGGTGTAGTTTTTTTTATTTTAGAGAGAGAGAGAGGAGAGAAAGAGTTGGAGGAGAAAAAAGGGTTGCATGCATTCATAAAATATAGAAACATGTATATCTGTAAGAGTCATTGAAATAATTGATTCCAACAGTTCCAGCAGGTGTCAAACATATCCTTTTCACCTTTATTATAAGCAATATATTTTTGTGTTTCATAAAATGTATTCATAAGCGATATATCGCAGCAGTTACATTGTGTCTTCCCTGTGCACCTCATTGTGTAGATATAATATTTAAGCCATAGAAAAAGATTATTTGGTATCTTTTTCTTTTCATCCAAGAACCTCAAAATAAAATTATTTTTTGGTATTGATATTTGAAGATTAGTTTTATTTTCAAAGTAATCTTCAAATTCTCTTTAAATATATTGTACACTATCACACTCCCAAAGCAAATGTTCAATTGTTTCTTCTTCCACCTGACAGAAGGTACAATTCTTATTTTCTGTGATTTTAATTTTAAATGAATATGAGTTTGAAGCTAAAATTCTGTTCAAAATTCGATACTGAAACCATTGCAGTTTACAATTATTTGTAACTTTAAAAGGCAGTTTAAAAATCATTTTCCATTCTTTGTCATTCAATTCAAATGTTTCATTCCACTTTCTTTTACCAGTAGGTTCTGTACTATTATGATTGAGAAGATTATAAAATTGCCTTGATTTTTTGCATTCTAGAAGGGTATATATATTTGACATAATCAGAGGGTTTTGTGAATTAGTAACATTTTCTTCAAAATTAACTTTTTTCATCCATGCCTTAAGAGCACTTATAACACTCATGTATTCTAAAAAATTAATTTTCACTTGAGGATAAATATCACAAACAGATTCATAAGTCAGGAACAAACCCTCTTCATTAATAAGATCATTACGGTATCTGATATTAGAGTGATACATGGATTTATTAAATTACTTGCCCCCACAAGAATGTCGGGATTGTAAAATAGTGGAGTGTTTGCTGTTACTGTAGTTGGGTTTTGTTTATGATGTAGCTCAATCCGTGAATCAAATACATTAACCCAAAATGTGTTTTTCAGTGATTTCTGTATATCTTTGATATATTCAATTCCGCACGTTGTAACTTTATTTAGATCTAGATATGGTATAAAATCATGCAGGCCTCTATTTGACAATAAGAGTTTTCTTATCCAAAATTTTAAAGAAGATATAAAAGCCTTTACATTTATCATCTTTAATTCCCCACCTTCATATTTTTTAACAATTGCATCCTTTTTTATTCTATGTTGAGAGTGGTTCCACAAGAAGGAAAAGAACAGTTTATAAAATTCTTTATAAAAGTTGTCATCTGGATTTGGAATTGCCATAAAAATATAATTCAAAAGAGGCAAAACCAAAGTTTTAATAACAGTAATTTTTAGCGCTAAGCGCATGCGCAAGCGCTTATTAGGGAGTCTTCATAAACAGGAAGTCATCCAATCAACGACCCCTATCGGCATGATGTTCTTCTAAACATAGCACCTCAAATATTCCGATAGGCGCATTTTCTAAAAATAGCATCGCTGTAGTGATCTAGCGCAGTGCTATCATATCTTAATTTTATGATGGATCTAGCGGTGAGGACCAGTAAAGTTGCTTGCACTTTTTCTTTTAACAATTTTTAACATTAAAAAATGAGTTGGTGTACATGAATACCGGTATGACAAAGCAATAGTTATAGACCAGTATGAATGTACTATTATGTACAATAGTACATTCATACTGGCCTATAACTATTGCTTTGTTTAGAAGAACATCATGCCGATAGGAGTCGTTGATTGGATGAACTGTGACAATTGTTGAAAAAGGGCATACTTATTCACCAGAGTTCTATTAACTAACTTAGCTTAGCGCTTTTCAGTACTGTAAGTACTTTGATTCCTATTGGTGTTAAGTGTCTTTTCTCCCATTGATGCAAGATTGATTTTATTTTACTTAACTTCGGCTGATAATTCAATTTAGACATATTTTGAAGTTCTACATCAAAATTAATTCCAAGTAATGTGAATTTGTTAGTCCCCCACTTCAAATTAAAATCTCTAGAAAAGATATATTGACTATGTTTTTAGATCCAATCCATACTGTCCAGACATTTCAGAGAAATCTTGTAATACTTTAATTGTTTCTGAAAGTGATTCCTTGCTACCATCAAGGATAACTGAGGTATCATCAGCTAGTTGTGAAATTTTCTTTTCATTATTACATACAGTAATTCCTTTAATCCTTTTATTTTCTCTTATTTGTATAGCTAGAATTTCTGCACAAAGTAGAAAAATATACGGTGATAAAGGATCACCTTGTCTACAGCCTCTTTGGATATTGAAGGATGCTGAGAGATTGCCACCTTGATTAATAGCTGAAGTAATGTTATGATAAAATAATTTTACCCATTTGTGAATATCAGGTCCAAACTTAAAATAAGTTAATGTCTTATGTATAAAATTCCATGAAACAGTATCAAAGGCTTTTTCAAAATCAATAAGTAGAAGACCAGGAATTTCTTCCTCTTCAGTATACTGCATTATGTCATAAATTAGCCGAGTGTTTTCCCCTATATACCTGTTAGAAATAAAACCAGTTTGATCAGGATTGATAAGTTTATCCAAATAAGTCTTTAATCTATTTGCAATGATACCAGAGGCTATTTTATAATTGTACAGTATTTAAAAGTGTAATTGGACGCCAGTTTTTAATATATTGTCTTGGTTTTTCTCCTTTAGGTAAAAGGGTAATAATTCCATGTCTCTGTGTGATTGACAGACTTTTCATAAGCATAATTAATTGACCTGATAACAAAAATTCCAAGATATCGCCAAAAGACCTTAAAACATTATGATGAGAACCCGTCAGAACCTGGTGATTTATTTGCCTTCATTTTGCTAAGTGTTTTAGAAGCCTCCTGTAATGTAATTTTGCCTTCTAAAGACACACGTTCATCTAAAGATAACTTGGGAATATCTTTGAAATTTAGCTCAGAATTTAGGTCATATTTATTTAACTCATTGTTAGGTGTAGAGTATAAGTTTTCATAAAATTCCTTTCAATTGTTTCATCCAAAATTTCAAACTGGTCTTGAGTTATCTGCCCATTGTTTTTAACAAGTTTGGGAATTATTTTGCTAGTAAAATTTCTTGATTCTAAACCACAAAAATAATGAGATAGTTTTTCCCCTTCTTCCACCCATTTTGCTCTACTTCTTATATACATTCCTTGAAGTTTGTATTTTCTAAGTTTTTCCAATTTTTGCTTTTTTCCATTTAGTTCCTCTACATTGTGCTCAGTAATATTTTCTTCTAATACCTTAATTTCTTCTAATAATTCTTTTTCTTCATTGACTTGTTTCTTTTTTATATATGCAGAATATGAAATACTTTTCCCTCTTATTTCCTTAAGTAGTGTTTCTAGAAATAACTGATCATCAATGGTAAAATATAGATTTTCATCTAGAATAGTATCAAGATTATCAAGGTCATACACAGGAAGTGCATATTGCTTTTTTCACATTTGAAATAACATTTCTGATACAATCTAGGTATTGCTTATCACCAAGTAAAGAACTGTTAAATTTCCATAATCCCCTTCCCTTTTTAAAATCATTGAAAGTTAAAATCATTGATATCATAGAATGATCGGACCTGTAACTTGGTTCGACTGTACATGCATTAAGACAAGGTAGCAATGACTCAGACATTATAAAGAAGTCTAACTTACTTTGTTTAAAAGGATTTTTTTTTCTCCATGTGTACCTTCGAAGTGTTTCATGGAGTTGTCTAAAGGGATCTACATAACCATATCCTTCCATTATTTCTAATACTTTTTCTCTAGCCTTTGGGTTATTAATTGATTTATACATGTACAGTCCCTGAAACGTTCTACTTTCCCATTTTTCCGTTCGCTCACCGTTCGTTCATCGTTCGTTCAGCGTGCGTTCACCGTTCGTTCACCGTGCGTTCACCGTTCGCTCTCCGTTCACAGTTTTGCGTTCACCGTTCACCGTGCGCTTGCGTTCACCGTTCACAAAGCGTTCAGCGTTCGCTCTTCGTTCCGTTCACTTTGCGTTCACCTTGCGTTCAGCGTTCACCTATCGTTCAGTTTTCATTGTCATTCGGAACTCCGAAGTGAAAGGACTTATCTTTTTGTAGTTAAGGAGTTACAGGTTTTTTTTTTTAAATTTATTAACTAACATATCGTGTTTGAAGAATCATTATTTCATGAGGAAAAATATCTACGATATATATTTTTATTATTCTAACTTAGCTGTTAGGTTATTTATTAAATTACTCTGGAAAATAAATGTTGTTACAAAATATAATAGAACTAGTTCTGAGAGTTATACATAGTACTGCGGATATCCTGTTAATTTATTATCTTTAGAACGAATTAAATTGATAGTGTGGTTAAAGGAAATATTTATTTCAAATGTAATGCACTACAAAATTTCTCTACTGTAATATGTAAGGTCTATAGTTATAGAGAAAAAAATCTTTCTTCACCGTAACTTTATATGTTTGCCATTCGATATGATTAATACCCCCCCCCCTTTCCCCCTAAATCGGTGACTTAGTCAGTACCGTATTTCCAGAATATTTTAATTAACATTTTAAAAAAAAAGCTACGGTCTTTTTTAGAACAAAAATTTAAGTCTCAAAACAAACATGCATCTAAAAAAGTCACAAAACAATAGTAGATCAAAATGTACAGGTGTCGGCGGTGGTATTTGAAATTGGCAGAGAGTATGTTTCACATTCAAGTGTTAATGCTGA